TTCCTCTAATAGAAAAGCACCCACACTGTCAAGTTTGAGCTCAATTATCTCAATTCTTACCCAAGATATCACAAATGCGTCAACTGACAAAACACTTCTGATATTATGATAAACAATTTATCGTTAGACAACTTTTTAAATATCTTTGACAGGAACCGAAAAAATTGGCTTAAATCTAAAAGTTAGGAGTCCTGTTAGGGATTTCACTCTAATAGCCTCTCTATAAAGTTTTTGAACTTGACTTTCAAAAACCATTTTTCGCAACTTGTACTTATTTCCGCTCGCCTCTTTTCCTCCTTTTCCCGAAATATCAAGTCTTGCTCGTTTTCTAATATTGGTTCAGTTTGACCATTGCGTAAGAGGGTCGAGACAAGCTTGTACAAATCACTAACTGATTCGTGCGGACTCGTCCTCGAGTCCTTTTCTATCTCTCATATCCTAAACAGATGCCACGCCAGTCGTCTCGTCACTCGTACCGCCCGTCATCAATCGGTAACAATTCAATGTCGACGGCCAAAAAAAACTGGGAACCCGGTAGCGCAATTATATGCGATTATTGAAATCGAAACCATCCCTCTTCTTCTTTTGTGAGCGATGGCGAGATATATGGTTTTTTGTCCCTCTTTTCCGAGTCTCTCTCCTATAAATTTGTCCTTGGCATGTCTGCCATTTCTTCCGGACACTAATTCCTACATTTTTTTTTCAACTGAGGAATTGAAAGAAGACCTTGTTTATGAGATGTGTGACGTGGCAATTGGATATGACAGCGACTAAAAAAAGAGAGAAAGAAGGTCAAACTTTGAGCGGATTAGAGTAGGCAAAGTGTAGGAGGCAGAGACTTTTGGCCACGTTTCAAATTTGAAATTGCTGCGGTGTCCAGCTGTGCATACAGTCTATGGGCACTTGGATCATTTTAGTGTCATTCCAATATTTCTGTTACCACTGTACGAAGTTTGCAGCTTGTAGAAGTTACTATGTTGTGGTTGAATATAAAATTTTGAATTTTCCTTTTTTATTTTTACTTCGAAATCATTAAATTTGAAAAGCCAAACATTTTTTAATGTTTCGAAACAAGTTGTTTTCGAAAACTGAAAAAATTGACTAAAATCTTGAAAAGTATATTTCAAAGCTTAATTCCATGTTTTCAAAAAGAGGGTTTCTGAGATCCTAATTTTATTAGGTACCTGTCTATTTTCTAGTTTTCATCTGACTTAATTTTCAAAGATACACCCAAACAATCAATTTTGAGCTCAATTATCTAGATTCCTGTGAAAGATATCAAAAAATTGTCAACTGATAAATTATTTATCATAATATCACCAATATTTTACTAGTTGACCACGGTGGGCTATTAGAGGAAACACGGTATGAGTTCCACTCTATTTTCTAGGCTTCATCTGACTTTCAATTTTAGAGAAACTATATTCATTTGAACTCCCGGAACAAAATGTTGTAACTTTGCTCACTGAACCCACTCTCCAAAAAACCATATGTATTCTTTTTCTTGAGTAAGTGCGAATACTTTTCGGCAAACACCCCAAGGAAGAGTGTTAGAACAAGAATTATTTGATTTGGCAAACAGTCCAGAGTAGTACTTTTTTCATTTGGGAGGAGGTTCTCGTCATCACTTTTGTTTCTTCGAAGTGGCGGAAGAGCCAAGGAAATTTGACACTTTCGTGTTCCAACCGTCTTTTTTTGCACTTTTGGGGGCTCTTTTTGATGGTGTGTTCTGGTGAGATGTACCAGAATTCTAGAGAGTTTTTTTTCTAATTCTAATTTGAATCGTTTCCAATTGTCAATTTTGCGAAGATTAATTCAATAGGTTTTGAACAAAGTATAGTATTCCAAAATAATGTTTTTAATTAACCGTTTTTTGACACCTCTTAAAGAAACCAAACTACCGTAAAAAAGCCCCTAGCTTTAACTTTGAGCTAATATATCTCATTTCCTGCCGAAGATATGCGAAAATTGTCAACTAATAAATTGTTTATCATAATATCACCAATATTTTATCAAATAACACTTTTCTATATATATATATGATAGAAATCGAGTGAAATCGGGTCAAAGTTACAAGTCATGGGACCCTCCTATTGCAGATTATACGGTATCTAGGTGCCAATTAATTCCGATTTTCAGATGAATTATGGTATAACGTCTTCTATAAATACTTTTTTTTATACTTTTTTTCGAATACTTTTTTTTATTGTTCATTCATTGAAATCTTTATCCCCCTCTCAATAATTTTTTTTGAAAGTTTCGACTCACTCACTATCAGCTCACTCAGTCAGCTAAAAAAATATGTTCTTCAGATTTTCAAGGCCTATTCAAATTTTTTGAGAACGAATGTTTTCTGTTTTCTTTTCTATTGTTGTCAGACATATTTTGTTTATGTTTGTCAAAAGATTCACCATCAAGCTTTTTTTTTCCATTTTTTCTAGTTCAAGAAACCAAAAGATCTCGAACTATGAGATTGCGGTATTTCAACTTTGAGCTCTATTATCTAGACTTCTGCGAAAGATACCAAAAAGTGGTCAATTAACAAAATGTTAGTGATATTGTCATAAACATTTTGCCAGTTGACCACTTTTAGATATTTTGTACAGAAACTTAGATAAATCAGCTCAAACTTGACAGTGTGGGTGGCCTTCTATTAGTGTGTTTACGGTATTCTCGTATTTTTCGAAAAGTTCAAAAAGTTTCTCAAACTCAAACAAACAACTATCTTGATCAATACATATTAATTTCTCGATGATAGATGGTAGTTAGAGAAACAGAGACACCCAGAGAGACAATAAGAAAGCAGCTTTTCGTTTCCAAAAATGTCATTTTCCGTCGGGAAAGAAGAAGGCGAAAAAAAGAGAAACGATTTGATGAGAGGGCGATGCTTTTGATTCGAGAAAAGAGAAACACACACACACACATATCGCCCGATTCCTTATTTTTCCGACGACTACATCGTTTTATCTTATTCCATTTCAAATCTAATGTAAGCTTTGCCATTCTCATCCTCTTTCTCTTTTTTCTCTCTTTTTTCCTGTCATTTCCACGTCTCCTCCACAAAACTTTTTTGTTTATACTACGGGTCCAGACTTCTGCATCACAGAGAAATAGTGTAGAGATCAAAGAGAATTAGAGAATTTACGAGGGGAGGGGTCCAGATGTGAGTGCACAACTGACTCTTTCTCTTCCTCTCTCTCCGATTTAAACAAAAAACTTCTTGTTACTTTTTTGTTCTGTTTAGTATTTTTTTTTGTATTTAGTTTACCTTCAAACCTGCAATAGAAGGCACCCCACACTGTTAACTTTGAGGTTAATTATCTCGATTCCTGTAAAATGTAGCAGAACAAAAACAACTGACAAAATATTTTTGATATTGTGATCAACATTTTGTCAGTTGACAACTTTTTAATATCTTATTCAGAACTCGAGATAATTGAGATCAAAGTTGAAACCCTTCTATTAGAGGTTTCACGGTACCTGCAGGTATAATTATTTTGTGGGTTTTGAGAATATTTTAGTATTTTCTAACTTCTCTGAAACTCCTAAAAGTCCTTGATAAATACTACAGTAATCTTCCAAAAATTTAAACTTTATTTAGCTCTCAAACAAAAGAAAACTATGAATTTGGAATCTTTGAAAATTATTAGTTGACTTTGACCTCAATAATCTCAATTCCTATGCAAGATGTCAAAAATGGGTCAACTGGCAAAACATTTCTAGTTTCATAATAAACAATTTATCAGTTGACCACTTTTCAAAAATTGAAGTTCCTTTTAGAATCTTTGGAAATCGTTAGTTCTGGCGAGAATTCGAAATTTCAAATTTTTAGTTTAAATTATGAAATTCCGCTTCAGGAGTGCCATAAACCTTTATTTTGATAAATACAGTAATATTTCGAAATTTTTAAATTCTAACTCTCAAAATCTGTAGCTTCCATAAAATATAAGTTCCATTCTGAAATATTCGGAAATCTTTAGTTAGAATTTTCATTTTCCCATTTTAAAAGTTTATGTTAAATTATAAAATTCGACTCTAGGAGTACCATAAACCTTTATTTTTTAGGCTCCTGCCTCTGTATTTTTTATTCTGAAAAATAAAAAATTTTCAAAAATCTCCCTATCTTTCGTTTTCTGATTCTCCTCTAGTAACCGGATCCTTGGGGCTCCCCAAAATTTAAACATTCCCATCATATACATATCTAAACTCAGTTGTTCCTCTTCTTCCTTCTCTTCCTTCTTCTTTTTATTTTTCACTTCTTCTTTCCAATATCTCTGCGCTTCTCCATCTCTCCTGCTCCCTTCATTTCATTTCTCTACCCACTCTCTTCATTTTTCACGCTCTTTCTCTACTCATTGCCACAGCTCCCTGCCTCACTCTCTTCCTCTTCCTCTCCATTCGAATTTCCATATTTTCGGTACAACCCTCGCCTTTTCCCCTACTTTCTCACTCTTTTTGAGTTTGCAATCAACAATACGTGGCATATTGTCACTGTATTCAAAACATATACCTTTCCCCATCCACATCTTTTGTCACTTTTCCATTCGTTTTCTATTCACATCTCATAGCAAAAAAAGAGGAAGAAAAAACCCTTTTTCTATTTTTCTTCAGGGTCATCTCTTGGCCGAAATAGTAGTTTTTACTTTTTTTTTTTGGTTTTCACACATATCGTTTTCTAATCTCATTGACCTGGTAAACGAATTTTCGTTCATATAAAGTTTCATATTCCAATTAGTTTGCGAATTCCCAATTAATTCGTTTAATTGTAATTTGAAAAAAAAGTATTACTCCTGAAAAAAAATACAGTAATCTGTGTAACCCAGACTACACCACTTCTTTCCAAAACTTCCATCAAAAATGGTATATTCCACGTACATGACCTTAATTTCTATGACCCTTCGCTAGCTGGCACATCTGTCACCCTGTCCCTTTAACTTTTTTCTGACCTTATTTATCTTTATGCCAAAAATCCCGTTTCAATCTTCAGATGTGCTGATAGAATGGCAAATTGGCCTCGAGTTTCTCCCATCGCCTACGTGGCACTCGGCGTACTTCTCGGCTTGACACTGTCGATTGTCTCTCAATCGGGAAATGTGAGCTACTTTTTTTTGAATCAAAGAATCGAAAAGATTTCAGTCAGCCTATGATGCAGCATCTCGGATAGCAATCATCAGAGCGAATCGCAATGATCCACAATTGGAAGAGCACGATCATGCACATGGAAATGATCCGGTTAGTGGACTAAACATGAATAAGACTGATTTTTATTCTTACTGTTTACCTTTTTCGAGAAAGTATCGGGCATATATATATATTTTTTTTTCAAGCCATGGCTCCTGTCTAAAAATAGACAGAAAATACCTTTTCCTCTAATAGGAGCCCGCCCGAACTGTCATTTTGAGCTCAATTATCTTGATTCCCATAAGAGATATCAAAAATCTGTCAACTAATAAATTGTGGGTGATATTACGATAATCAATCTATCAGTTGACAATTTTCTGATATCTTTCTCAGGAATGGAGGTAATTGAGGGCAAAGTGGAGGGTTGGAATTAGAATACAATGCTGAGCAATGAAGAAGTCTTTCAGCACGGCGACGAAGAAGTGGACGATCATCATGCCAACTTCGCACCCGTTCAATTCCATTCGAACGACTCATCACATAGTCACGATGGAGAGAGTGTAATCGCAGATGAGGTGGCAAAGAAGGTTCGGGTATTCTGTTGGATTCTCACTGGAAAACAGAATCATGAAAAACGAGCGAAACATGTCAAAGCCACTTGGGCGAAGAGATGTAATAAGTGAGTTTTTGATGACTGAAATATGAAAAATAGGGAAGCTGTTTTACAAATAAGTTCCTCAAAAAAAGTTTTTTGGAATGCTGCAGTTACAGTATCCCATCAGATACCCTGGTACAAAAAAATCGGAGCTGTGGGCAAGTAACACCGGACAACTACCGTAACTTAAAAATAGTTTTATTCTCCGGATTTATTTTCTCGGTTTCCGTGCGATTTCAGTCAATTTTTTTTCACAATCAAAGTTTATAATTTTTGACTTATTTAGGGAAAAATGGCAAAAAACGACGAAAATAAGTTCTGAATATAAACATTTATTTAGGTTACTGTAGTTGTCGTTGTCAAATGTATTGCCTTTTGTGTACTTGACATTCTGCCGAAAATGTAATTTTTAAATCCCGTCCAGCAATTTCTGAAATTTGCAGATACGTGTTCATGTCATCTGAAGAGGACGCGGAACTTCCAGCCATCAATTTAAATGTATCCGAGGGTCGAGACTATTTATGGGCAAAAACGAAAGGAGCCTTTAAATACATCTATGATCATCATTTGAATGATTTTGATTGGTTCCTGAAAGCCGATGACGATACCTATGTGGTTATGGAAAATCTCAGGTTTATGCTTTTGGCTCATTCTCCGGATGAGCCAATTCATTTCGGATGCAAATTCAAACCATTCACACAAGGAGGTTATCATAGTGGAGGTGCTGGATATGTACTGAGTAGAGAGGCTCTTAAGAAGTAAGAAAAAAGGGAATATCGAAGTACTTAAAGATGGAAAATTTCAGATTCATTGAAGTGGCACTTCCTGACAAGTCCTTGTGCTCTCAGAATCATGGAGGAGCCGAGGATGCAGAAATGGGAAAATGCTTGGAAAAAGTTGGAGTGAAGGCTGGAGATTCAAGAGATGCAGATGGACATCATAGGTAGAGTATTTTAATTAGAAATCTCCAAATTTGGCTTTGTTTAGATTCATGCCATTTGTTCCGGAACATCATCTATCACCTGGTCACGTGGATCCAAAGTTCTGGTTCTGGCAGTATACGTACTATCCAATGGATCAAGGACCGACATGTTGCTCTGGTTAGTTCTTACTTTTTATGATGCTGATCTTATTCTTCTTCTCTTGCTCTTTCTTTCTCTTGACGACCATGTCAACAAACGAAAAGTAAAGATCAATTGTTTTCGGCTTGATGCTCTATTTGCTTACTCATTTTTTCAGATTATGCCGTCTCCTTCCACTACGTCAGCCCGAACTTGATGTATGTGCTCGAGTATCTCATCTACCATCTGAAACCTTTCGGTGAGTAATGGGGGAATTTGAAAAAGGGGATCAGAGTATTCCAAATTCCCGAAATTTCGATATTTTTAAATTCGGAATTTTCGAAATTCTGTAATTCGGAACTTCTGAAAGTCTGAAAGTCTAAAATTCTGAAATTCTGAATTTCTAAATATCTGAAAATGTAAAAATCTAGAATTCTAGAATTTGGAAACCTGAAATTCAGAAAATCTGAAAATCTGATGCTCTGAAATTTTTTAATTCAAAAAATCTGAAAACCGGAGGTCCTAAAATTCCGAAAAATCTAAAGTTCTGAACTTTCTGAGATTCTGAAAGTGAGTTTCTGATATTCTGGAAATGTAAATTCCTGAAAATCTGAAGTTATGAAACTCTAGAAATCAGAAACTTTGAAAATAAAAGACACTGAAATTCTGAAATTCTGAGATTCTGAAATTATGAACATCTGAAATCCTGAAATATCGAATTTCCATAATTCAAGGTATCGATCGCGCAATTCGTGTGCCCAAAAACGACACCATCATCCATACGGCATACTCAATCTCTCGGTCTGAACGTGGTCAAGATGATGCATTCCGAGAGCGACCGGAGCTTCCAGTCTAATTTATTAATTCTTTTCTTGTTCCTCTCTTCTAGTCTCACTTGTTAGTTTTTGACCTTTTTGCTGCATACCGGGTGATCTATTGTTCCTTTTTTTACAGCTTCTAACTTCCTGTGTAATTGACCAAATCCGTTTTTTCTTTCTTTCTTTGGGCTCTCTTTCTCTCTCCGTCAAAAAAAAAACATTCCATGACTGTTTTCCATCCCTCCCTTTTGCCGCCTCCTCACTCGCATTTCTTTCCTTCAACTGTCTTTGTTTTTTTAATTTTGCTTTTTTTTTAAATTAGTTTAAAATTGGATATGTTTATGTTTTTTATTTACGGGAATCGTCAGAGTTTTACATGTAATTTGCTTGGTTTTTCAAATCATTTTGGGCACCTTCGTGTGCATATGTGTTTTCTAGTCAACTTGTTCCTTTCATCCCATTGTGTCTTATGTTTTTTCTTAAAAAAAAGAAATTGGTTTATTCATAATTATTAAAATTGAGCACGACAAAAAATACACCGTAAAAGATTCGAAAACGAGGGAAGGGACCAACGAAAAAATACAAAAATATGTTCCGGGGGGTAATTTACAACAACAAAATGGACTAATTTGGCCATGTGACGAATGAGGAAATGAGGAGGAATACTTTGAGGAAATTTAAGAAAAAATGACAAGAAGGAGCATGAAAACGACGGCGGTGAAAACAAGAAGAGCAGCGATTATGGCAACTATAAGACTTCTGTGATGGGTATCTGGCATGGCACGGACTGCGGTTGGAAGTACAGTAATTGGAGTGGCGTCATCTTTTGGAGGACTGAAAATTTTTGAAATTATTGGGTCAAATCTAGAAGGTGGAAAATATGAAAACTGAATCTGGATTCGAGTTTATATTAATCCTATATCAATCCAGTAGCATCTGATATTATTAACTTTTTTGAGTACACTTTGAAGGGTTGTCCTCCCGATCAGTGTATGACCTAACTTTCTCAACATGATTTTTCTAGGCCACCCATTTTTATCACCTAGAAATGATCTGCAATTCACTGGGTGTGTTTTCTAGGTCATGGTGGCCTAACTTTTGCCAGTTGCGTTTTCTAGGCCACCGTGGTCAATAGCCTAGAAACACCCTGATATAACCTGTTGTGTTGTCTAGGGCATTTTAACATGATAGCCTAACTTTCACGAGTGGATTTCCCTAGACCAACATGGCAAATAACCTAAAAGTAGCGTCATATTAATTTGGTGCGTTTTCTAGACTTTTTTTCAAAATCACTAATGTAAGAATACAGTCAATCAAAAGAAATGACTCAACTTTCTAATAATAGAAACTTCTTTTTAAAAGTATATGAATTACCTTATGACGATGAGTGGTGACGACGAAGGAAATCGAGACGATGGAGACACTGGAACATTGTATTCTGATGACGTCGTCGAGAATCGTGGACTTTCGATTCGTTTTTCTCGTACTGCTTCGGCTCTGCAAAACGTTTGGAGTTGAGGAATTTAGAGATGAATCATATCAGAAGAATTTAGGGTTCAGGAAAGCGAATAATCAGGATGGTGGAGACCTAGAAAAGTTCAAAATGAAAAATCAATGAATCGAGACGGTTCAAATTGTTTCGGTCTATTGGAAAGAAAACTTGTCCATCCTGAACTTTCACTAAACAGGAACTACCGTATCTACTCTAATAGAAGCCTATTCTAACTTTGAGCTCAATTATCTCAATTGCTTTCTCGGCTGTCAACTTGCAACTTCTGGACGGAAGTTGAGAGGGGGTTCGGCTTTTGGACGGATTTTGGTCAGATTTTGGTCAGAAGCTGCCCACTGACAACAGTGGGACGGACAATGGTCAGATTTTGGCCGGAATTTGAAGGCGCTGCGTGTTAAGAGGTCGAAAGCTGGCCGGTGATTTGTCAGATCTTGACCGGCTTCCCACAATGTCTTTGCCGGAATCTGACCAAGCTCCGGCCAGAAGTAACCGGCGATGCCTGAGATTGCAAGACATCAAAAAGTTGCAAACTAATAAAATATTGCTGGTATTATGATAAACAATTTATCAGTTGACAAATTTTCGACATCTTTCACAGGAATCAAGATAATCAAGCTCAAAGTTGGCGACTTAGGTCTCTATTAAAATGGATACTATTTCGAATGGTTCAGCATTTTCTAAATTCCACAATTTCAAGCCAAAACGTTTTTGGAAAAGAAAACTTACTCTTTGACAATATTCTGATTGAGATACCCTTTTGGTGTAAAATATCCACTGTTCGCTGTCCCATTTTCAATTGTAGCAGCATTCGGAGCAGGTACCACTGTATCCATTTTTCTGAAAACAAAAAGAATGATTCGTCTCGAAAAGACAAATGAAGTAGATGAAAGCGAGGCAAATGAAAGGTATTTTCACTTTACACCACAGTGTTCTTTCTTGTCCTCAAACAAGACAAATCAAGTTTACATGGGGAGATGACGTGGCGGAAACAGAATATGATGATCTGTTAGACTCCGGAAAGAAAAACGAGTCATCTGTTTATTATATGGGCTCAATTCACTTGAAGGGATTAGGACATCACTAAAAACTGAGAATCGAAATTTTCAAAAGAAGTTTGATCGAAAAGATTTGAACCCGTTGGCTGTGGACCCAAAACGCACGCATAACCAACTGAGCCAAAGATGTCGACAGTTGGTAGCGTTTTTAATGATAAAGGTCGGAGGGAACGAGTATTTGAAATAGCGAATTCTAGAAAAAAAGGTCGTAAAAAAGAGAGAAAGACAAAAAAGACAAAATGACTATAATCCAGGAAGCTATTCAGAAGTGACAATGAACTCGTGGGTATAATGTAACTCTCCAAAGATACATTTTTGATAAAGATGAATCACTTGTGGAGGAGGAGAAATATAAAGAGACGGAGACCGAGAATGGACACATTTGATGATTGACACGCATTCCCTTTTGTATTACACCCGAAGCAAGAAACACATTTTGTTCAAAATCAACAAATTGTGATTCCATTCTATGCTATTGAAATATGAAAAATGTTGAAAATAATATTTTTCATCACATTAATCTATGAGATCCATGATGAATTCCATAGCGTTGCAAATATACAAAAGCTTGCAAAAAGTTGTATTTTTGGTTTGTTAGTTCAGACTGAAAAGTATTTTGTAACGACATAGATAGTTAAAATAAAAATTTGGAAAATAAAAAATATTTGTGAAAAGAATGATGTTGGGTTGCCAAAAAAGTTTCCAATCCGGTTAGGACAAAGTGAAGATATCGAACTTTTTTTAAAATTTGGTTTTATATTTTGAAAAACAATTTTTTAAAAAGATTAGAAACAATGAAAAATGAAAAAATATAACTGAAATAAACTTCTGTAAATACATTTTATATCTTTAAAAATCTTAGATTACTGTAGTTCCAGATTTCTGTAGTTTTGTAGTTTCTGTAGATTTCTTGGGAATTTCTCAAATTTTTCGGTTTTTAGATTTTCACAATTTTCTGACTGTTCAGGAGTCTAAGTTTCAGAAATTTTAGAGTTTTGGAATTTCTGAATTTTTGAATTTCTAAATTTCTGAATTTCTGAATTTCTGAATTTCTGAATTTCTGAATTTCTGAATTTCTGAATTTCTGAATTTCTGAAAAAAATTAAAGAGCAGTAAATCGAAATTTTGACAGTCAAACTTCTAAAATTCGTATTTTGGACTAGCGAATTCTCAAAATCTCATAGAACACTTCTTACGCATTTTCCGCCTTCTTCCCATGTTTTTCCTTCCCTGGTCAAGTGGAGAAGTACCTCAGAATTTTTCATCAGATTCATGAGCAAAAAACAGAATAGAAAAATGGACATCACGACATTTATTTTCTAAAGAATCCTCTACAAAAACACTGAATCATATTGGATGAATCAAAAACTCATAATCATTAGCAACATGTGGTGATGGGGGTAATTTAGAAGAAGGAATAAAAACTTTTAGGAATCTAACGATTGGCAATTTGAGACCAGTAAAAGAATGAAGATTGATGAGTAGTGAGGTGGTTGAAGGAGGATAATAGAGGAATATAAGTGAGAAAAAAGAGACTAGAGTGAGGAAGAAAAGAGGATTAGATGTTATATGGACGGATGGAATACGAGGGGGGGGGGTGAGAAGAAATAGGATTATCCATAGACCGTACTTGATGAAAACCTTTTTTCCTTCTTTTCAAATCCATCTTTTTTCTTTTGAAAGGTTATTCAAAAAACTTTTCTTGACTCGAGTCATAAAAGCCTGGGAAAATGATCAATAATCATTCGGGATCCAAAGGAATCGGGTGCGTCAAAAAACCCTGACCAAAAACATTTTTAATGAGGAATTTCTTGCCGAGATTATTATCGTTTGGGGTTCCTCACATACATAACAGTTCTCTTGTGATCTTTAGTTGTTTAGGATACTAATGTGACAAACAGATCTCCTATATTTTATTTCAGATTTATTGCTAGGATTAGCAATTTTCAGCCACATAGATTATGTAGCTGGAGTAGCTAGGGCACACAATCATCCTGACTGATAAAAATGGGTATATCTTTACCCTGAAAGCGCGAAAATTGGTAGAAATATAATTTTACGTTTGATTCAAAGCTACTGAAGTTTTCAAAGCGACTCCAAGTCTAGGTATTGCTATGATCGTCCAAAAAATAAACGGCGTAATGATTCTTGTGATTTTCATGAGATGAAGCAACTTTGACAAGCGATAACTCAGCTCAAAGTTGATCGAATAATTTGAAACTTGGCCAGTTTACAGATGAATTTATTGAATTTTTGCACTCCAAATATGAGCCCAATACAACTTTTTACTCAAATGTTATGATATTACAAACTTTAGTTCGAGTAAAATGCGCCACCCTGTAGGTCATTCGTTGGATGAAACCATGCGGATTCAGAATTGAAAGTTTTCAAGTTTTGTTATGAGATTTTTGTAATTTAACTGAAAAACTACATTTTTGTAGTTGATAGTTTTTGTGTATCATGCTCAAAAAAAAAGTTATGGCTCATTGAAAACACAGAAAATGTTAGGATTTTGGTTTTCATCCGAATGTCAAATTTCCGAAGAAAACCTTTGACACGAAATTCCGACTGTAAATTTGAGGTTTCACAGTCTACCTACACCGTCTGAGAAATATATTTTTATAAAAAAGACTTCATCATTTTTTCTAAGAATGTATGATCAGAAATAACTACAATTTGAATTTTTCTTTGATAAACAAAACAGGATAATCCGAAGATGAAAGTATTCCCACGAAAAATCTTCTCTTCAAACATTCCAGAAATAGAAAAAAGAGCAAATGAGGATTTAAAATTCTAGTATAAACATGTTTGATGAGGTGGGAAGGAAATTAGATGTTAAACGGCTTCCGATTTCAGATGGTGTAGAGATTATAAATCTTAATTTTCGATTCGGGGAATTTGAGGATTTAGAACTCATGATAGGGGAGATTTCCGGCTTAATTTGGACTTTTAATACCTCGATGTTGCGGGCCATGTTCAGATTTTTTTCTTTATTTTAAGGGTTTATGGTCCAACATTTTCAGATTTTTTGGAGTTTTTAAACTCTGTTCAAAATTGAATTTTTGATAGGAGTACCCCTTCAAATTGAAGTTATTTGTCATTCAGTGAAAACAGAAATTTTCGAAATTTCTGGAAAATTCCAGACAACAATTCATTCTAGGGTTTAGTTCGGCTCGATCTTTTAAAACCATACAAAAAACTTTGGATTCTGAAATTTTAAAATAGCAGAATTTTTCGTTTCTAAACTACTTTGAACACCAAATCTAGATTGTTCTCAAACTTATCCCAAATCTATTTTTTAAAATTATTCAACTGTTAAGTTTTAAATGTTTCAGGCATTCATCGACTTCTCTCGTCACAACATGAAAATCGAACCACACGGAGTTTGT